GGACTCAAATGTTTTTTTCTTTCTTGCTATTGTTTCTAACATATTTATAAGATGATTTCTTTGTTGCTGTGTATGTCCCTCCCCCACGGTATAACCCCTGCTTTCATTCAATTTGATGTTGGTATAATTTGTGGAGGGAAAGGGAAAAAACAAATCATTTAATTAGGTATACAGGTGGACTCATTTCAACAATGAGATGTACAAGTTGTTATGTTGAAAAACGAACTTTACAACTTTAGCTAAGGGAGCAGGGCAGAGGTGGGAAGGGAGGAGGCAACAATGCTTGATAAGAAATGTACCCATTACCTTGCCCATGTAATTGTAATTCCTCTGTATGGTATTTTCACAATTAAAAAAAAAAAACAAAAGAAATGAACCCAAAGATAGGGACACAAGAGGTTTTATCTTTGCTGCTATTCTTTTTAATCTACTTACAATGTACTATGTGATTTTTTGTTGTTGTTTCTTTGTATGTTCTTCCCCCATGGTACAACCCCTATCGTTACTGTATTTGATTCTAGTGTCCTGCATCTTGTATATACATTTTTCTAATTTGGGGAGGGGAAGGGAAATAACAAAATGTTGAAATAAGGATACAGGATGACCCATTGTAATAATGAGATGTACAAGACAGTATATTGAAAACAAACTTTACAACTTTGCAGGGGAACAGGGGGAAGTGGAGGGAGGAAGACTTGGAGAGGTGGAAAGGGAAGGGATGGTAAAAAGGGGAAAAAGAAAGGAGGGTGTAACAACTCTTAATAGGAAATGGACTCATTACCTTGCTTGTGTAATGTAACCACTCTATACAGTATCTTTACAATAAAAATTATATATTAAGAAAAAAACTAGGCCAAATACTTAATCCAAATTGCACTTCTAGCCCCAAAAGGCATTACTCTCCATTCCTATATATCCTTTCTTTAATTGTGAAATAGACTTGACCCTATAAAAAGTAGGAATGTTATTGAAACTGTGTTGCTAGGATGAATATGTTCCAAACTCGTGCTTATTGTCAAAAAATGATTTATGACAAGTGCTCAGTCAAAATAAATGCAATGACCACTGCAGGAGGTGCTGCCTCTGGAGCCTCCACACAGACGCTTCTTTCTTTCATTAACTTCAGCTTCTGGTTGCTATAGCATCTGATGACAACCATAGCTTTGGGGAATTATCTCTATCTACCCTCATCCTACTCTAAGGACATGATTCAAGCAACCAAAATAATTAACAAATAAAAACTCCATAAATAATGCTACAGCTTTGTAATCTGTTTTACTTACTTTTTGTCTTTTTTAAAATTATAAATGCCCACCTGGGGAAAAATTGGAAAAATAAAGATATTTGTTCCCTGATAAAAACAAATGCCTCCTGGAAAGATAAGTGATTTTTAAAATCAATCGTTGAAGATTAAAAAAAAACAAAGGCACGACTAGGAACAAATCAATAGATAATTATAAATTCATCAAAATTAATCTGTTTCCTTTCCACAGGAACAAGTTATGCAAATTTGAAAGTAAGTTAGCACCATCTTATTATATTTAATGTTACTACTCCCAGGAATACAAAGTACAAGTTAGTGTTTGTAAGTAAGCTACACTAGGATGTAAAATTGGGTGGGTTTTTGTTTGCACCCTTCTTTTTAGTTTGAGCTTTCCATGGTTGTTCTTTTTATTGTTTCACTGGTTTTTAGAAATTGTACTCTATATCTTTTAAACATACTCATGGGTTCTTTGAAATAGATTTTTGAAATTAAAACAAAGAGGTTAAAACATTGTAGAAATATTATCAAAGTAGTTTGCTTCATACCAAGATGTTTATAGATAGTGTTATAAATAAGTGTTTCCTATCCCAGGAAGAAAAAAAAATGACATACAATTTTAAGAAGGAGATACAAAGTCCTGGAATATGAAAGTTTACATGTTCATATTGAATCTCATTCTCCCAAAACATAAAGTACATTCTGAGAAAAAGAAGTATTATGCTCTTTGAGACTAGAAAGATTTTTTTTTCTTTTTTTTGTGTGTGTGGGGGGTCAATTGTGGGGCTTCACTCTGGGCCTGGGCACTGTCCCTCAGTTCTTGGCCAAAAGCTAGTGCTCTACCATTTAAGCCACAGTGCCACTTCTGGCTTTTTCTGTTTATGTGGTGCTGAGGAATCAAACCTAGGTTCTCATTTATGTGAGGCAAGCACTCTACCGCTAAGCCACCTTTCCAGCTCCAGAAAGATTTCTTCAAGACCATAAGATATCTAGTTAAGAAGATACTAAATAACTCATTCCCTAGCTTATGGAGATACTATTCTGTATTCCCTAAATTTTAAACTTCTCCAACTTAAAAATGTAATTTAAAAAGAGAAATCACATTAAATATTTTAACAGCATCATTCAGCTGCAATAGTCATACGTAAAAGTAAGAGAATTAGGCACCAGTCAATTCACATGAACTGCTTTAAAGCCATTCACTGGGCTGTAGAAAGCATTTGTCTGCTCAGGGATCCCCTTTCTCACAGTCTACTTTCTTTATGAGCTCTCTTTCCTCATTCTTCCCTAGGAAATGACTAGTTAATGTCTTTGCAACATAATGCTTAGGAACCTTGCCAGAAATCCTGGTAAAAGTTTTTAAAAAAATCATATTTGAGAGGAATGGCATTGCAGCTAAAATATGATGATTTGTTAAAAATAAAGGATTTATAATGAGCCCAGCTGAAACTAACTTCAGTGACTGCCCAATAAGTAAAAAGTATAACATATTTTTAGAAAGATGTCATTCAAAAATAATTTTATAGACTTCAACCCACAAACTTAATGATTTAGAAGTTTACTTACTCCAAAGTTATTCATTAGTGTCAATTGTGAAACATTGCTGCAGTTAGATCTTGATGTATCATCTCATTTAATTATTGTCTTGGTGATTAAGTATATTGCCCTAACCTTAAAAAATAAGTACTGGAAGACAATCTGGAATTAGATCTTCTCTGTTTTTATTTTTATTTTATTGTGCTTATTTTATTGGAAAGGGGATGTATAGAAGGATTACAGTTATATAAGTAAGGTAATGAGTACATTTCTTTTCAAACAGTGTTACCCCCTCAATACTTTTCTTGAGCTTTCCCTCCCTTACAAGTTGTAAAGTTCATTTCCAACATAGAGTCTTTTGTGGGGGTGGGGAAATGGGTGTGGGTCCCTGGGCTTGAACTCTGGGCTGGGTGCTGTCCCTGAGCTTTCAGCCCAAGGCTAGTGCTCTAACACTTGAGCCACAGCGCCACTTCCAGTGTTCTGGTGGTTAATTGAAGATAAGAATCTCATGGCCTTTCCTGTCCATACTGTCTTTGAACCACAATCCTCAGATCTCAGCCTCCTGAGTAGCTAGATTACAGGTGTGAGCCACCAATGCCTGGCTCCAACATAGTGGCTTGTGAGTACTGCTGTTAGAATGGTTCCCCCCTTATCCTTAGTCCCATCATTTCTGTGATTCCTTGTCCCTGTTTTTATGACTATTTTTCCAGAATACTTTTTTTTCCCCTTTAAGTAACTAAGATTATATAACACAGTTCACCAAATACAGAAAAGTGGTCATTTAGAACTCCAAAAACATAAAATGTGAATGATTTCTTCTTATGTCTTTCAACTATACAATGTATGAAGTTGAGATCTTTATATGTAGTATGAAAAACAAAAGCCTACATTTTCAGAGAAGTTCTGTGATGCTCAACCATGGAGACTTGACTGCTGTGTTACATTCCATTTGTATGGTTATATGTGTATCTTCTCAATAAACAAGCAATAACAGAGATATTAAATGCTGTGTAATATCATCATTATATTTAATTTGCTCATTGATCTGGTTCAACTTCTGATGAAATCAAGAGTGAGTATACACATATAAATACACTAAAGAATTTCCACATGTAGGCTGCAAAAAGCACAGTTCTTTTTCCTGTAGTACTGTATATTATGAAATCATTTACAGTATATAGTTTATATGGTCAAGATATTTTTAACTTACACATTTTCAATATTGTAATAATCTGTTTAGTTCAAGTAGCTCTAATAGAAATGGATTTGCCTGAGAAAAATAGGCTAAATTCACTATATTACTTGTTTTCATAGTTTCCAACATGTCAGTGTTTTTTTGTTTTTTTTATTTTTTTTTAATTTAATTTTATTTTATTTGAGAACTTACTGTACAGAGGGGTTACAATTACATGGGCAGGATAATGCATACATTTCTTATCAAGCATTGCAGCCTCCTCCTTTGTTTACCCTTCACCTCTCCCAACATGTCAGTTTTTGCAAGGTACCTGTGAGCTATTTCTGTTTGACATAACTCTTGCCTATTGTTTTGTATGCACATTTCATTTTCTGAGTTCTTATGGAATGAGAATTAAGTTTAGAACTTAAGAGTTCTGGGTGTGTATAACCATTGAGAACTATCAGTTGATTGGCCTTGAGAAATCCAGTGATTTTCTGTGATTGTCTCTGAGCTTTTACTTCTTAATGATAAATTAGAATAGTAATTTGCTTTCCTTTTCTTTTTCTTTCATCTGCCAGTACTAAGGTTTGAACTCGGTGCCTCACTCTTGTTTGCTGGGGTGGCTCTCTAATATTTGGCTCATGCTTACTGTTAGTTTTTAGTTGTTTGTTTTGGAGATGGAGTCTGATAGACTTTTCTAACTAGGTGTGCTTCTTACCAATATTCTTCATAACTCAGCCTCCTGAGTAGCTAGGATTAAAGGGGTAAATTTGCTTTTGGCAATTTGTGACCGGATTCATTAAAATAACTTCTAGTACTGTGCTCAATTAAGTTCCTTTCTTTTCAAATCAAGAAGTGAGGATAATCATAATGAAATCTTGAAATAAACTGTCCTCTACAGATGGCCTTGGTTTGTATAAAATGAAACTAATAAATGTAAATATCAATGTAGCAAGTGGTAGGTGTAAAATCTATAGTATTGTATGGCTCTTAGTATTTGGGGCATAAATAAGTTAGCGTCCTTACCTGTTGGTGGAATTATCCCAGGAGACATGAGGCCAGGGACAGAATGTGGCATGATGTGAGAGTTCTCAGGGGAGGTGACACTTTGAGTCCTCTTAGGAGGCCTTCCAGGTCTAGAACTGAAACAAACAAACAAAAAATTTTACAATTAAGCTGTTGTCTTACACATCATTTCAAAGTTGTTTCAAGTGGTAACATGGACTGTAAATAAATTTGTTTCAAGGACGGTTGCTTTTGCAGTTAGATGTAATAGACTTCCATCACTAATTAGATTACATGCTGAATTCATTTTCCTCATTGAAGATCAGCCACTCCTGATGCATAATTCATAGCCTGTACCTCGTTACCTGCTTCTTCATATTAATATCTATACACAGTTTGAATTGCCTCGTTTGCATATGCTAAAGTTCTGCATGCAGCCTTCAGCACGAAAATTATGCACTAACTTGTAATAATTATTACAGTCAGCCTGCTATTGATTTATGAGACTTTTAAAAACCAAATATGTGTAGTACTTGTAATGAATGATATTTTAAGGTTCTTCAGGAAATTAAAAGGCAATGGCTGCCTAAGGAAATGTTCTGCTTGTTTGATTTAATACTACAGTTAGCTGGGAGGTGGAATGAAAGAGTGATTCAGACCTATAGCACATTTTTCGATGATATGTTTTATTACTTCGCACTGCTAGCCTGATATCTAGATGATAAATGACAATACATATCTAATGTGTGAAAAGGTCTTGCAATTTCTTTATTTTTTTGTCATTTAAAAGATAAGTCAAGTTATCATTTAACCCTTATTCTGTGTAAGTGAACATTCCCACTGAGCTACCTAACTTTGAATATATTAAAATAAATGAGAAAGACTTGGAATATTTGTAGGACATCATTGGGAACCTGCCTGGGTAGCTTCTTTTATCTGTCTTTAGGGTAAATAAAGTGTATTTATGTTTTAGAGTCTTTATCCTTTACATGTCTGCTATGCTATACTATTTTTTTGTAAAAGCAGGTGAAGTATTAGAAAAGTATTCACTACTTCATATGAAAATAACAGAATATATTGTTCACATTTTATTAAATAAACAAGCATTCTTAGCACTAAATTTCCACTTTTCTCCTCTGGCTTATTAGTGGGCTTTTATGAAATACTCTTCCATCACTTATTTGGCCAACAGGAGCCTCAATTCAAAACAATTAGATATGCCAATTATAAATAAGCATTTTCATGTTTGTCTCAGCTAAGCCCCTTTGCCTCATCAGAAGACTCAAAAATTCCATTTCTTTTATTTTGTGTAAGTATTACATGTGGTCATTGAACAAATAATTGCTAAGTACCTGCTGTTTGCAAAGCAGTGAGCTATGGAGGTTAATTTGGGGGAATGAGTTCTTAGTTTTCAGGAGCTTGTACTCTTGCCAAAGGGAAAGAATCTGGTGCATAAATAACCATAATGCAAATTGTAATGTGCTAATAACTCCCATAAGAAAGTTGCAATCTGGATACTAATTGGAATTTAGGTTTGATGATGATAGTTCCACATTCAAGAAACAAAGATGGCAGTGGGAACACTAGAAGAAATTTCAAAAAAAAATTTTTTTTAAGTTAAATCTGGAGAATTCCCACTTCAGTGATAAGGTAAGAAAATGAATGAAAGCATAAAAATGTATGAAATTAAAAAAAAACATTTCAAGTACACCAAAATGCCCTGAAAATCACGGGAAACAGAGAGTAAGTCTGCTAGCTTTATTGTCTGGGATCAGCTCAATGGAGGTGTTTAGAACAAGAGGAAAGAAATTATAAGCACATTTGTTTTGTTAACTAACAAGTATAGTCTCTTTGTTGTTCCAAAGTGTCTCTTCAGCTGCTTCTTACTTTTCATTATTACTCTTCATCTTCAACTGGCTTTTTATCTTTTATTATTTGCCTAGGATCAATCAACAGCCTTTAGATAGCCTCCATTCTTCTAGAGCGAGCTCTTTCCTTGTCATCACTTAAATAAGAAAGACTAATGGCTAAATACACATCTCCTGCCCAGATCTTCCTCCTGGGATTCAGAGAGATTGATACCTATCTACCAGATCTCCATTCCTAGATGTTTTATATGATATCAGACATGGCTTGTCCACATCTGATCTCAGCATCAGCCCCATTAACCGATTGCTCTTCCCCTAGTTCAGCAAAACGGTCACTAATTGAATGAGCCAAAAATCCAGGACTTGGCTGCAACAATTCCTTCGCATGCACTCTTAAATATCATTTCTGTAATGCTAACTCCTTAACCCATTCTCTAGACTGCATCCCCATTCCTACTTTCCATTTCCTATGTCTACTACAGTTAACGCTTTCCAATCTTACCCCAAATCTACCTCCAACTCTGTCCCATTCTAGATCCTAGAACCTAGACAATTCTTCAGGTTGATTTCAGAAGGATTTTTCTAAAATGCAAGTTTAACCATGCTTTACATTTGATTAAAGGTATGAATGGCTCCTTACTAGACCCAAAAACCTTGTCTTGACACCAAGCTCTAGTAATTGTTCCCTCTTTATTTTTCTGATTTCAACCTTTCAGTCTTACACTTGGACTTACATTGGCACTGTTGCACTTCTCACCATCTTGCTTTGGCTACCTAAATGTAATCATTTTAGGATGTCATGGATTTCTTTGGTCTTATGGCATCTCTATAAATGTTTCCTCCTTTGTCAATATATTCACAGCAATTCATTCTCACCTCCATATTATCTACTTAACCCTTAATCTTGCTCCTTACTAATCATTTAAGTTTTAGTGTTTTCTATGTACTATATATGCATACTATGTGTACGTAGTACACAGGGCTGTGTTCTATGATAGTCATACTGTACAGATTACAGTAATCTAGGTTTGTTTACTTCCCCAAATGACATGCAAAATGTACCTAAAACTCACTCTTTTCACCTAAATGAAATTTCACCTAGTTTTGACACAAAAACATAAAAAATATTTTATGTACTATATTTTGGAGCAAAAATCTCAAATTCCTCAAATACCTTGTCTCATGGATTCCAGTAAATAATAGTTCCAAGAAATTAAAAAGTATCTGAGAATCCTTAAACATATTTCTAAACAGACACCAAGGTAGCAAGAAAGGGAAGGGAGATGTCAGAGAGACCTCTAGCAAGGTGTTGTAACAATGGAAAGGGAAACTGAAGTTAAAATATTTGAATATTTAGCCCTTTGATCTGTTTTTGTGTTAAAGAAAATGAAACTGTTAAAGAATGCTTTATTATTCAATTCACAGGAGTTGTCTACATCTCACAGCTTTCACTCAGAAAGTAGAAGGCAGGCTACTAAGTGGCTACACTTTAATTCATGCTGTGATTAGAATAGACCCAGTGGGCTCCTTCCACTGCAGGCATTTCTTACCCATTCTATCACATTGCTTCAAATTCTACCAATAGATATTTGTTGCTTTCAGAATAGGAACTCAAAGTTCTTTTAAAAAATAAAAGCAAAAAACTTCCATTAAAAAGCAAATATCCTTGGTGGTTTCACTTTGCAATTAGGTAAGAGTGAGGGAAGAGGTGAAACTGACAACATTCAAAAAGAAATTCACTCATTAACTGCCTTATATAACTGTAATCCTGCTGTACATTACCTTCACAATAAAAATTTTAAAAAATCAAACAAAACAAGCAAATTTTAAGAAAAGAACATTAAGGAACTTAAAGAAAAGACTGAAAGGAGTCAAGAATACTAGGAACTCTATAAGGAGTCAAGAACTCTATAGAGAGTTACACATCTTATTTGACAGAGAATAAGAAAAAGTTGCCTCCCTCCACTTTCATGAATTACACTTAGATCCTTTTACTGGCAGCCTGTTACTGTAAGGCGACCTTACAGCAATCTTGGTCACTACAGAGGGTCTCTAGTTTCTATGAGAACCTATGAAGATAACTGAATTATAAAATACTTCAAATATTAAAATTTCTTTCAACAGTAACTTACAGATTTCCAAGAAAACAGATATTGTACTGCAGCCAGAGGCATGTATTTTATTGCCTGAACAGATAGACTAATAATACTTGCCTATGAAGTTATTAAAAGGTTTAGCCTTAAATTATCTAACTTTTCTAATGAAGATGTTTTTATAAGCAAATGCTCAGTATGATTTCTACAGAGGTAATTATTGTTGGAAAGAAAAAAATACTGAGAAGAGAGTGCAAAACAACTGATGGAAGGACTTATTTTAGAATGGCCAATTGCCACAATGGTAGCCATCTTCAGTTCTGGCTTATCTCCAACCCTGAGCCACTTCTCTCCCAGAGAACTGTAGTCCTAATCAAACACCACACCTCACTTTTACCATTACCCTTACTAGTCTGAACACAATCAGAATTTAAGACTTTCTCATTGTTTTGCTAGCATCACACATTGGCTACACTGCAGCCATTAGTAAGTATTTTCCACAATCTCCATGAAAAGGACAATGAATTAGGGATGTCCAAATCCACACTTAAGTATTTGCAACACTTAGGAACTCAGACACAGTCTTTCAGAGGCCATTCTTAATTTTTAAAATTAAACAAATTTTTTTTTTAAATCTCTTCTTTAAAACAATTCACCCTGGGTGGTCTTCTTTCAGGACAACTCCGACTTAACTTCTTTCTCTCCCATGCTGGTTGAAGATTTACCCACACTTTCCACTCAATTTATTATTAGAGAGCCCTCTTCTCCCCCCTGGCTCTGGGACCAGGGATGCACATTTATCATGTGTATCATTTGTTTTGACTTCTTCAAGATAATGCCAAAATTCAACTTCAAAAAAATGAGCACCAAAGTGATATGAAGCTAAGTGCATTGAAAGGATGAATATCACAGCGTGCTAGTTGGCTCATGCCTAGCTACCCAGGAAGCTGAGATCTGAGGATGGCGGTGGCATCATGGCTCAAAGTGGTAGAGGGCCCATCCTTGAGGTAGCACTAGATCCTCATGGACAGTGCCCAGGCCCCATGTTCAAGCCCCATGGCCAAAAACAAAACAGAATGAAAACCATTGTCAATCCCCAAATTTCTCAATAGTCATAATCTTTTGTTAACCTCTACAGTAAGTTTGTTGTTGTCGTTGTTATTGTTGCTGTTTGAG